TTCTCTTCAGCTATCCTACAAAATCCAGAAAATTCTCTAACGAACCAATTCATAGCTTTTCATTTTCTTTTGAAAAATTAGTCTTTAATCTCAATGGCATGGTCAAGCACTCTACACTATTACACATTGTTCTTGAATTTTTTCTACATTCACCAAATTTATTAGTATACAACTAACATGTTCAGAGCCAGTCTCTTGATGTTTCTCACCATTATGTCCATAACAGTCTTGAGTTATGTTTTTTCTTCATTGTTCAGCCACCCATAGTATAGCTACTAGTAAATTTCTTCTCCTGAGACTTTGAGGCACACTTCTGTCTTAAGAAAACTTTCTTTAACGGTTAAGTGTTTCTAAACCTGTGCTCTGGACTCCTGGTACTGCCCAGATTGGAGAAGGAGTGGAGAACTCCTGGGGTGACCTTGAAGACTCTGAGAAGGAAGACGAGGACGAAGGCGGCAGCGATGAGGCCATCATTCTCGATGGTGTGAGGACGGACGTGGGAATGGAAGTCTCCAATACTGGAAGCCAAGGTGGGTGGTACTTTATGGCTTTTATTATTAGACTTGAGGCCCGATGCATGAAAATCGTGCAAGAGTAGACCTTTCTTCCCCTGGCTGCTGGCACCGGCTTCCCTTTGGCACCCGGGACCCAGGCTTCCCTCCAGGACCCAGGCTTCCCTATGACCCTGACTTTGTCCAGAATGATGTCGGGTCTAATTAGCATATTACCCTTTTATTATAGATATTATGTAAACATGTAAATTATATATGTAGTCATATGTGAATAGAATCTGTCCCTATTTATAGATTAAAGTACCACTAAGATAGGGATTTATTTTTATATTAGCAGTTCCTGATTTTAGAGGAACTGAATTTCAACTAAACTTTTGAAGCTAACTGCATTATTAACTCCAATTCTTTTCTAAAAGAATATGCTTATGTTTGTGGAGTAGTGGTAGCTCTTTGGTATGTAAATGTAGTTGCATTTTTAATGTTTTGTTCTCTTTTCTTTTATGTATAACCTATCTGGGCCAGTTTTAAGGAGGTTTCTTAAAGAACTTATTCCTGCATGCTAATTTTTCTTTGTAGTTTTTAGAGTGAAACATAAAGCCTATAACGTTAAGAGTGCATTCAAATAGAATTTTCTACAGTACCAGAAATGTCCTACATCTACACTGTCTAATATAACAGGTCCACTAGCTACCCACACACAGCTGTTGAGCACTGAAATGTTGGCTTGTGTGACCGAGGACCTGAATTCTAAATTTTACTTATTTTTTTGTTAATCCTCACCTGAGGATATTTTTTCCATTGATTTTTAGAGTGGAAGGAAGGGAGGGAGAGAAAGAGACATAGATGTGAAAGAGACACATCGATTGGTTGCTTCCTGCACCAACTGGGGCTGAGGATTGAACTTGGAACCCAGGTATGTGCCTTTGACCGGGAACATTTAATACTGGTTCCTACATTGGTACAAAATCCTAGGATAACCTGGAAAACTTGTAGTCCTAGGTGTTTCTTGCATTCTGAAATACATAGAACTGGAGAAATTGTTTCTTCTTTCAAGAAAACCAACTTCAGCCCTAACCGGTTTGGCTCAGTGGATAGAGCGTCAGCCTGTGGATTCAAGGGTCCCAGGTTCGATTCCGGTCAGGGGGCATGTACATTGGTTGTGGGCACATCCCCAGTAGGGAGTGTGCAGGAGGCAGCTGATCGATGTTTCTCTCTATCCCTCTCCCTTCCTCTCTGTAAAAAATCAATAAAATATATTAAAAAAAGAAAAAGAAAACCAACTTCATGCTTGGCCCACACTAGAATATAAACAAGTTGTTTTCATGTAGTAAAAACAAATCATATGAGGAAGAATCTAGGCATTAGGTGGGCAGGGAACTAAAGGATGTACTTATGGCGTCTGTGATGCACAGGCCGGCCTGCCTTTCAGGAATTTAGTGCCTGTGAGCATGACTGAGCTTGCTGGGGTTTTGTAGAAAAAACATTCCCATTGATTGAGACCTTTATTCACTGTCCGAGGGGTCACTCTGTTTGGCATCACTCTTCCAGAGCTTGCTCCAGATATTTACTACTAGAGGCCTGGTGCACAAAAATCATGCACTTGGGGAAGGAACCTCAGTCGGCCTGTGCCCTCTTGTAGTCCAGGAGCCCTTGGGGGATGTCCAAGCTGATGGCTTAGGCCCACTCCCTAAGCCAGCAGTTGGACATCTTCAGTGCTGCTGTAGAGGCGGGAGAGGCGCCTGCCACTGCTGCTGCCCTTGCCAGCTGTGAGTCCGGCTTCTGGCTGAGTGGCACTCCTCATGTGTTGGCATCTGCACCCTGGTGGTTAGTGCGCATCATAGCGACCGGTTGTTCTGCCATTTGGTCAATTTGCATATTAACCTTTTATTATATAGGATATATTTACAGCATATAAGCTGCTTCCACAGTGAGACTATAAATGAAGCTTTAGACTCCATATAATTACATATACATCAGCCAGTCTTTAATGCTGCATAGAATTCTGTAGTGTTGAATGTTACTAGTTGGTTTAGTTATTCCCTTATTGATATACTGTTTCAGTGCAACAGTGAGCATCCTTTCATATATCCCTTTATATATTTGTGAACTATTTTTCTAAGATCAATAAGACTAACTGCTAGAATATTCGATTGCTAGCTTCAAGAGTAATATTTCCAACTGAATAAAGGTGGCCCTAAGACATTTGGGAGGACAGCAGGTAAAGCCTTTCAAAAGCATATAAACAAAGTGAGAAACTAACTGAAAACTCAAAACATATAAGACCTGATATACCAACAACCAACTGGGAAAAGGGATAATTCACATTATATATCATTAATGAAGGCTCAGGAGAAAACTACAAAGTAATTCTCACATATAAATGGCCAGTTACATATGCCAACTCTGGTAGTAATGAAGGAAATGAATTCAAAGCAAAAGGATGAGAGCATTTTTGGACTGCTGTATTGGGCAATATTAAAAATACCAGCATTGGCAAGGTTGTATGGGAAAGTGGGTTCTTCATAGACTATTTCTTGGAATGTAAATTGGAACAATATTTTTGGAGGGGTTTGGCAGTATCTTTTGGGATGTATATATACCTTTTGGCCCAACTATGTTTCTAGGTATTTCCTTTAGTGTTTATAATAGGGAGAAATGAAAAATTTAGATCTCTAAAATTAGCAAATTCTGAGATACATTGTGGTACAGTGGGGCCTTGACTTACGAGTGTCCCGACTAACGAGTTTTTCGAGATACAAGCCGTCTCTCGGCCAGTTTTTTGCTTTGAGTTGCGAGCTAAAATTCGGGTTATGAGCCAGCTTCAGATACCCCACCGCTAGTTGGCGCAGCAGACGTCACAGTGAACGCCACAACATCAGCCCAGCATCACATGTCTCACTCGTTCACTTTAAGATTTGACATACGAGTAATTTGAGTTACGAGCTCCGTCACGGAACGAATTAAACTCGTAAGTCAAGGCCACACTGTACCTTATCGAGTGGCACGGGCACTTTGATGGCATCTTGTTTCCAAATTGGTTCTACAAGATGATACACACACACACCCCCTATAGATACAGATTTCCCCTAACTTTTCTATTATGAATGTACTGAATGGTGACGTCATTAAATACATGTTTGGGGAATCAAGCACATACTGTTTCAGAGCTCCAAGAAGTTACCTGAGGGAAGGAAAGAACCAAGTAGGCCTGGCAGCCCGCACCCAGAGTAGCCCGGGCTCTAGTTGTATGGAAGTTTTAGAATTGCTGCTATGCAAACCAATTTGGAAACTTTTAAAGAGATTACAGGCCCACCTCAGAGATACTGAGGGTTTGCTTCCAGACCTTCACAATACAGCGAGTTACTAATTTTTTTGGTTTCCCAGTAAATAAACAATGTACATACCTTAATTTAAAAATAGCCTGCGTACAGTGAAAGTAGGTGTGCCTGTACTCACATTGCTTCCTGAACATTTTCTTAAAGAGGCCCCTATTGTGCTGTCAGACAGTGAAGAAGAAGAAACGATCATTTTAGAACCAGACAAGAATCCGAAGAAAATAAGGTAACTTTCTGGCTTGTTTTTCTGTTTTTTTCTCTTATCTACTGTAAACAAAGAGATGTCTCTTTCTCATTAGAAATCTAGCTGTTCTTTGGTTTCTTAACCTGAAGTCTATAAATATTAGGACCTAATTCTATAGAATTGTTTGGATGCCTTTCAGAGTCACTATTTTACTGTCATAGTTGGCAAATGTTATATCCTATTGGGAAAAAGGCAGGCCCCCTATTTGTGCAGTGGGGTGAAGCAACTTCTAGTACTAGTGCTGTTTGTAAACTCTTAATTGACTTTATTCACAGAACACAGACCATCAGTGCAAAACAAGAAAAAGCACCAAGTACAACACCAGTGAAAAAGAGAAGGAAGAAGAGAACTGCAAATTAAAGCTCACGTGGTTGTATCTGTGTACAGAACTATTAAAAGGATATTTATTTAAGTGCTAGCAACCTGGAACGTTTTTTATTCACAAATCCATTATAAAATCTAGTCACTTCCTTCGTTTTTACATTATGCTCTTGACAAACCTCCTGGAAAACTTAGCAGGTTTTAAGTAACTGCCACTTCAGCCATGTCCAGGTGATTTACATTATGCTCTTGACAAACCTCCTGGAAAACTTAAGCAGGTTTTAAGTAACTGCCACTTCAGCTGTGTCCAGGTGAGCGAGGAGTGGAGGGCCTTCCCTGGCGTGCACCAAGGACCACGACTGGTCAGCTAGCAGATCCACTCCCGACACCTGGGTTATGCGAGCCAGCAACTGGTCGGATGCTCAGGAAAGTGAATGTCAGAACTACTGTCTGTTTTCCCGAAACTATAAGGTAGTTGAAGTCTTTTCACTTTTAGGAGAACCCTTTACAGTCTCCACAGGAGAAATTAACTTTTCGGTGAAACCCTGAAGTCAAATTTTTACCTCAAATTAAAATTGACTTACAAACTAAGTTTTCCAGATCAGTTTATTAATTCTTATTCTTATTATCCTGACAGCTGGCATCATTAATACTTTAACAAAACCACTCATAATCAGCCACATATCTAAGATACGCTAGTACATGTACAAAAGATATACAAATTAAAACCATTAAAAAGGAATAGAGACCATAATTTGTACTTGACCATAACTTCTGTATTCAGAAATGATTGTAAAATTAAAACTTTAAAAACTGTACACATATACGTTGATTTAACTCTTAGAAAACAAAGTCAGTCTTTCACTGTTACACATGTAGTGTCTCTGGTGGAATGAGGAGAGAAACACCATGATACCTGTAAGCAGGAAAAAATCCACTTTTAGTAAACGTTCACTGAGTGAAGGAATATACTAGGAACTAAAAAATGCTACTTCTACCCGAGTAAGCAAATGATTACAAAACACATACACGCATGCCCCTTCCCTCTTCTCCCTCAAATACAGGACAGATACAGCCCCTAAGAAGGCTGTACCCAATTTGAGGACCCTTTCATAAAGGTCAAATGTCATGGATCTCGGAACCATACGACGCCCTGGGAAAGCCAGCTCCTTTAAATCCTGTTGCCCCTGGCTGGTTTGGCTCAGTGGGTAGACCGTTGGCCTGCTCGGAAGGGTCACGGGTTCATTCCAGTTAAGCGCATGTGCCTCAGTAATAGGCTCAGTCCTGGCCCATGTGGGAGGCAACCAGTCAATGTGTCTCACTCAGTGTTTCTCTCCATCTCTCCCCATCCCTTGACTCTAAAAACCATGGAAAAAATATCCTCTGGTGAGGATTAACAACAAGGTTTGGCTCAGTGGATAGAGTGTTGGCCTATGGACTGAAGGGTCCTGGGCTCGATTCTGGTCAAGGGCACATGCCTGGATTGCAGGCTCAATCCCCAGTAGGGGGTGTGCTGGAGGCGGCCGATCAATGATTCTCATCATTGATGTTTCTTTCTCTCCCTCTCCCTCTCTGAAATCAATAAAAATATATGAAAAAAAAAATTAGAATGTTACGTCTTACTTGGAATGCTTGTACTTTTCTCGGATGGACTGCTGCGCGTGCTGCGGCGCTCTGAGGTAGGTCTGGTGCAGGTCCAGGAGACAGGGCTTCAGACTCTCCAGGGTGTAGCCCGTCTTCTGTGCCAAGGATTCAGGCTGCAGAGGGAGCGGAACACCGCGGAGTTGATTTCAGGAGCAACACAAGTTAACAGTTGGCACTGAGCTGGAGTTCAGTTTCAGTACTAACAGCACCTGACAGGTCTACCAGTGTTCTAAGCCGGCATTGCAACGCTTTTATGCTGACTTGGATCGAGTTTGAGTACTTTCCCTGCAGCAGGTTGGGAGGCAATGCTTTCAGCACACCTTTGAAATCCAAGCAACAACACAGCTTTCTACCTAACAAACATGCCTAAACGTGAACAGTTTCCCAGGTCAGTCAGTTAATGGCAAGAGCGGTTAAGACCCAAGGTATGATGATGTGATACATACCCAGCTTTGTCCTGTGACCGTGTAGAGTGCTAGATGAAAGGCCGCTCCGGCAATACAGTCAGTTAATGGCAAGAGCGGTTAAGACCCAAGGTAAGTGTGTGATGATGTGATACATACCCAGCTTTGTCCTGTGACTGTGTAGAGTGCTAGATGAAAGGCCGCTCCGGCAATCACTGATGGCAAATACTTAAGGTAGGGGTCAGCATCTATCAAACTTAACTCTCCCAGAAACTGGAATGAAAAGTAATACGCTTTATAGTCAGAAGAGCTCTAGAATTCAAACCTCACACCTCTGCCTTCTGACCTATTTTTCCCTCAAGACTGGTTGTAGAGCAACCATAGGGAAAAAAATTCCCATCGCCTCGTCTTTTAGATACATTCACTATCTGAAGTGTTTTCCATTCTCTTCCTCTTTCCTCTTAATAACTTTTTTTAATCCCCACCCAAATAAAATAAACTATATATTTTAGAGAGGAAGGGTTGTATTCCGTATGTGCCCCGACGGGATCAAACCCAAAACCTAGGTATGTGCCCTGGCTGGGAATTGAACCCCCAGCCTTTTGGTGTACGGGACGAGATCCAAGCACCTGAGACACCCAGCCAGAGCACTTTTAATAACTTCAAAAATAATCTGGCTACCATTTCCCAAGACTTTATTTCTATTATCTTTTGCCAATGGTAGTCTTTCTTCCATACTGCAGCATGAATCTGTCTCTGGAATATTAAATCCCTTGACCAGAGCTGCATAATAAAACCAGGGCTTGTCCCTAATTGTGACCTAGCAATCGTGCATCAACAAAATGAACTTACCATCGCTAAACTTTCAACCTTGCAGTTGGAAGGCTGCTGGTGCAGAAAGTACTGGGTGAGGAACTGATTGACAGTTGGTGCCGCTAAGTCAAAAGAAAGGACTTTCAGAACGAGGTGCTCCATTCGCAGAACTTGTTTCTTGGTGTAGGTATCATCTGTAATGTACACAAACTCTGCTACCTCTGGGGGGTATATTTCTTCAAACTTTCTGCAAGGAAAAAAGTTTTAAGTAAATCAGTCCTAAAAGAGAAGCAAGCATGAATATCCCAATTCTGAAATCCCTCTAGCACAGTGGTTCTCAACCTTCCTAATGCCGCAACCCTTTAATACAGTTCCTCATGTTGTGGTGACCCCCAATTTCATTGTTACAAATTGAACATAATTAAAGCATAGTGATTAATCACAAAAACAATATGTAATTATATATGTGTTTTCCGATGGTCTTAGGCGACCCCCGTGAAAGGGTCGTTCGACCCCCAAAGGGGTCACGACCCACAGGTTGAGAACCGCTGCTCTAGCAGATCACACAGAACGAATCCAATTGCCTGTTTTTGAGAAGACTGGGTAAATGCTAATTAGAAGACCCAGATCAATGAAGGACTTTTAAGATCTTTCTCCCAGTGCAGTCAAAGGAAATAAATGAGAAGCACGAGACTTCCCAAGACAGGAACAATGCTCAAGGACACCAGGTAACTGAACATTTAGGAAATTTCCTTAGAAAAATAAACATTTTATCTTTTGGTTTTAAAATTTAGTTTTCATGTCTTAATGAGATTTTGCTCATATGCTGGAAAGCACTTTTGAAGGGAAGGGACCACACTTTAAAACTTTGTAATCTGGTATTCAAATGTAGCCAGTCTACAAGTTCATTCAACAAGGGACCCTGGGATCCAGATCTGGAAAAGTAATGTCCTAAATTAGGCAAGTCTCACCCACACCTGTCACCACGGAAGTAGTCACCGACTCTGCCTTGTGTAATGTTGTCACACTGTTAAAATCACAGAAAGGTACCGATCCCTTTTAGCCGAGCGAACCAGGCTGACTTACGAGGCTAACAGCATAGCAGCAGTGCCCACCAGCTGAAGTTTTCCTCTCAGCACAGACATGGAGGAAAGGAACCTGTCGATGTAGTTCACAGCCAAGTGCAGGGTCTCATTCTGTAGTTTATACTCTTCTCCTACTTCCACTAGCCAGTCCACGAGGATAGCCCTCATGCTGTTGTTGATGTCCGGCTGCTTCTTCATGTAGCCCGCTTTGGGCTTACATTTAATCTGTGGAGAAAGTCACTTAGCGTAGTGTTAATGCAATTGGATTACTCTACGTTAGCAAAGCAGCTGGATGCTAGAAGCCTAAGTACAGCATTGGAGTACCGCACGGGCACTTAAAAACGCTCACAAACGCCCTCAACGCCATTTCGCCCACTGAGTAAACAGGACAGAAAGTGGGTCCCGAGCGCCTTTACCTCCATCTCCCTGAGGTATGTGTGAATGTCCTCGTGGTAGTCTGGGACTTCAGTAACACTCACTGGCTTTTCCTCTTCCAACACAATTGACATGTCCATAGCGTGTGGTGACTCTGGGAGAATTCAAAAGTACGATTAAGTTCCTCGTTCAATTTTCTTTTTCCTTTTGTTATATTTTCATTTATTTCAGAGAGGAAGGGAGAAGGAGAGAGAGATTGAAACATCAATGATGAGAGAGAATAATTGATTGGCTGCCTCCTGCACGCCGCCTACTGGAGATTGAGCCTACAACTGGAGCATGTGTCTGACCCGAATAGAACCTGGACCCTTTAGTCTGCAGGCTGATGTTCTATCCACTGAACAAAACTGGCTAGGGCCCTCGTTTAATTTTCTATTTAATTGCCAAAAGTGATTGCCCTTGTAGGCTTCCCACACTACCAAAGCAATTATTTCACCGATCACAAAGTATACACACTACTTCACTCTGTTTTTAGTACCTGTCCACTTAGCTTTAGAATGAATTTACTTAACAAGAAAAAATACTGATAGACCAATCACAGGAAAATAAGTATGAGGATCAGGTATTCTGTTAGAGTATCACTCATCTTCGAGAGACAGTGGCTCAGTGGTTCTATTAGGACAGGATTAAAACCCAAGTTCTAAGATAACACACAGGATTTGCTCTAAGAATTTGCAGACCCCCCCAAGTCTGATGTATTTGAAGAAGAATCTAGGCAATTGCTAGAAGCAGGGCCAACACTGCGTTCAACAAGTGATTCATCTTTTGCAATTTTAAATTATCTTTTGAAGCAAAAAATATCATCCATTATTGTTTTCACTTCAAGGTTCACTGTGAGGTTAAAATTTATTGCAAATTTTAGATAAAAACAATTTTTTTTCTTAAAATTCTTTTTATTGATTTCAGAGAGGAAGGGAGAGGGAGAGAGAGATAGAAACATCAATGATGAGAGAGAATCGTTGATCAGCTGCCTCCTGCACACCCCCCACTGGGGATCGAGCCTGCAACCCTGGCATGTGTCCTGACCAAGAACTGAACCTGGGACCCTTCAATCTGGAGGTCGACGCTCTATTCATTGAGCCAAACCGGCTAGGGCCACATAAATTATTTTAATTCCAAAGGACTTTCCTGACCAACTCTCACCAGCAGAACTAAAAGTGAAACGAGTTTGCCCTAACCGGTTTGGCTCAGTGGATAGAGCGTCGGCCTGAAGGGTCCCAGGTTCGATTCCGGTCAAGGGCATGTACCTTGACTGCGGGAGGGCACATCCCCAGTAGGGGGTGTGCAGGAGGCAGCTGATCGATGTTTCTCTTTCATTGATGTTTCTAACTCTCTATCCCTCTCCCTTCCTATCTATAAAAAAATCAATAAAATATATTTTTTAAAAAAAGTGAAACGAGTTTGGATTTAGTGAGCTGTCCAGTGACTCAACAGCCCCACGGTACAGAAGCAGTCCACAGTGGGCACAGCTGCCCAGATCTGCTCCTCTCCTTACAGGGGTTACGTACAAATACCTCTGGCTCGACCGACTCACAGGACAGCGTTCCTCTCTGGTGTCAGAGGATGGCTCAGACTGGTCTCACAGAAACAACATCTTAAAGCCGGAAGAGCTGTTAGATACCAGGGCAGGTCAAGCTAAACGCTCACACAGCCCTCTCTGGAGTGGAAGGCACCAAGGGAGTCTTTGGAATGAACAGAACTGAAATCTATTCTCCCAACCCTGGGAGCATCTCCAAGGTCCGATGAAAACCAGGGTTGGAGATCTAGTTAAACTGCCGAGACTGGCAGTGTATGGAAAGGAAAACCCAATCTGGATCTGGGTCTCTTTGTGGGCCACTCGGTCATGTATGAGCTGTGAGGTCTGAGATAAGTCACGCCCTTTCTAAACCTGTGACATTAAACCTAAGTCATTGTGTAGTAAGGATGAGATGAGATAATGCCTTACCATGCAAAATAGCATTAACCCAACCTACTTAGCAATTATGATTACACTGATTTGATCCGGATGTTCGTTAAAACTTACCCAAACTATCTTCCATTGGATAATCAAGAGGTACCAGTGGTTTTCTGGGTTCAGGTAAAGCAATAGCTGAATTAAAGGCCAGCACATCTTCGCATTCTGTTTCTTTAGATTCGCCTGGGCTCTTCTGAGTCTCTTCCGGCTCATCCACATGGATGGTGAAGGCAGGCTGCTTGCTGTTTGCCTTCCAGGGAGGGACAATGACACGCTCATCATTGACAGGAAGATCCTTCAGAGGTGCAGCCTAAAGAGAAACCATTAAGGGGCTTTGAGCTTATCAAATGGAGGCTGGCTTGCTTCCCCTATGGGTCTCGGCCGCGGCTTTTACCCCCAGCGACTCGATCAGGAAAATACACTTCCTGGGCCAAAATCCAGGCGAGGAAGTGGGGGTACTCAAGGAAAAGAAGGGATGGTTCAGTTGGCCACAGGCACGTATACAAAGGTTAGAGCGAGTCATACTGAGCGGAAATATGAAAAACCAGTCAAGGCCACAAGAGGGACGGAGGGCCCAAAAGATGACAAGCTTAGGAAAGAGACGGCAAAAACATGGTGCACCACGTTCACCCCGGGGTGGAGCAACAGAGCAAATCCGGGAAAATGGCGGAATTTACCAAAAACAAAGTATTTTTATATCCTTTCCTGAAGTAGAGGTGACCTCCTAACTTCCCTCTATTGGGGGGAGGGGAGGGAGTAGGAGTTCTTAGGGCTTAAAAGCTAAGAGTGAGGCGTGGCGGCGGGCAAAGCCCACACATGCGGCAGGGCTTGGTTTGACCCCATTATCTGCAGAAAAACAACCCGACAGAGAGCAGAGCAGACGAGCAGCACAGTGCGGCCGGAGGGCAATGGAGAACCTCCCCATGGCATCCCAACGCGCCAGGAACCGGGGATCGGGGGCCGCCGACCAGACCTCCCCCAAGCCCAGCGCGCTCCCCTAAAGGCCAGCTCGCTCCCCCAAG